AAAAAAAAAACGTCCCGGAGAACGTATTAAATTCGTAAACCGAGGTTCCACTGTACAACCAATGGTATATATCAGTGGTCCCAACCAAGGGATCGTCCAAGACACATTTCAATGAGAGAAAAAAAAAATTTCTTCACCTTCATCCACAGTTTAAAAGGTCGTGTTTTGTTGCAGCCTTACTTGAGGTGTTTAAAATTCTAGATACATTAACTTACAGCTTGTAATTGTCTGCCCGATGGGATTCCCAATCTAATGCTAACACATTTTAAGGATTGCATTCACACTATTCCATCCCAAAATTTGTGCTCAGGTTTAGTTGTCTTGAGGCATACCAGTACCAACCACACTGCTGCTTGAAAACCCCATGGTGTAGGTACTGGCAAGCATAAATGTATTGAAAATAAGGGTAAATGTGTCACCTAAGAGGGACAATAGGAAAATAATTTACTTATTTCTAAAATAACCTCCAAATTGCACAAATCCTACAATAATGTGATAATTCTCCCTACACATACTAGGCACTATATTGGAAATTCAAGTTAGCCTGTTATGATTGGTTAATTGAACATAAATCAGCCCCAAATGCAATGATTTCATCATATGTCATAGAGATATGTGATTTATTCAGTGTAACACCCACCTCCGGTCCGCCGGCCTATCTGCCTGCAGTCTTAATTGATTCGTCTTCTTTGGGAACACCCTCCCCAGACAGGACAAACCTCTGTGAACCGCACATGATGGCTTTATTGCTAGCACCTGGAAGGAGTGACATTAGTCACTCTGTTACTATACTCCCTCGCCAACGTGGGAGCACTAGCTAGGAAGTTGCCATAGTAACCACAGCACATGCACTGTGGTTGCTATACTTGGGAGAGCAGAAAGACTGCCTGTTGGGAGGTCTCTTCTGCTCTCTCTTGTCGAGCTTGGTGTTAAAGTTATGGATTTATTACACCGAGCTTTATGTTATGGTAATGGATTTATTACACTGAGCTTGGTGTTATTGTTATGGATTTATTACACTGAGCTTGGTGTTATAGTTATGGATTATGATGGTGGAGTAGGCATTTGTGT